ACATCAGCATTTCTATTTGGTTTTTATTTAGTATTTCTATCTATTTTTAAAATTATATTTCAATGGTTAAATTGACATTTCATTCAGCTCTCTGCTTGTCTTCTTTTGGAAAATATTGGATCCTTTTGACTTGATTTACCATATTTATAAACACTCTTTTGAATTCTTATATGGGATTTCATCTCAGTCACTTTGATTTTATTTGATTTTTTATTGATTCTTCAAGAATTTCATACAAAATATTTTAATCAACTTCAGACCACCTTCCTGATCTCCAACCTGCCCTCCAACTCCTTCAACTCCATGTCCTTTCTTATTATTTTTATTTATTATTGTTTTTATTGATTTTTTGAGAATTTCATATGATATATCATGGTCCTATTTAGAACACCCTGCCTTATGTGTATCCATAATTGCATCCCAAATAGATTTCATAAATTCTGTCCTAAGATTAAGGCCTGTTTAACCAAGTTTGTACCATCAAATGCCACTGAGTGTGTTGATCTACTGGAGCTTGGTCAACATATCTAGTGTCACTGCCTTAGAAATATTTTTGTTTATTATTTTTCTTTTATGTGTGTGAGTTCATTTCCTGCATATGTGTAAGTGCACCTGTGTCATGCAATGCCTGTGGAAGTCAGCGGATGGCAGTGGATTTCCTTGGAACTGGAGTTATGGATAGTGGTTTGCTGCCACATGGGTGCTGGGAACCAAACTTGGATACTCTGCAAGAACAGCCAGTGTTCTTAACTGCTGATCCATCTCTGAAGCCCCTAGTGCCACTACCTTAAAGAAAACCAACTCTCCTTGTCCCAGTAGTGATCTGTAGTCAATAGTTCCTTACCTAAGTTTTGGGTTCTTACCTATTTCTGCACTCAAAAGCTGAGTTTTTGTCCAGTATGAACTTGGAAGAGTCTTGTACATGCTGTCACCATTGCTGTAATTTCATATGAGCAACTTCTCAGCCACTTGGAAAACTCTGTTTCCTTTTGATCATCAAACCCCTGGCTCTTACAGTCTTTATGCCACTTCTTCCACAATGGTTCCTGAACTCTGTGTTTCAGAGGTTTGATACAGGTGTCCTACACAGGGAAAAACACTACAGTCTCTTATTCTCTTCATTCTGGCTAGTTATACCTTTCCAGGTTAATTATCATCTGTTGCATGAGAAAGCTTCACTGGTGAAAGTTGCATGCATTAGTTTTTTTTTTCTGCCCTGTTCCACTCTGTTCTGTAAGACTTAGGTGTAGAGGTTGCATTGTACATGTGTCATTTAGCACTTGGTAGCTCCTAGGTACTTGTTCTCTGCCTTTGGCCAGTTGGGGATCTCTGTAATAGTCTTCATCTTTTCCAAAAAGGTTTTTTGACGAGTGGTGAGAGTTACACTTGTCTGTAATTATAAGGATACATATTTAGAATACAGTAAGGAATTATGTTGGTCTAGGGATATGACAAAGGTACTTTTTTTTGGATTTATGATGGCTCCAGTCATGTGTATTTGGCTATGTTTATAGTACCACACTGGAGTTCTCTCCTATTGTGCAAACTTTAATTCCATTTACACAGCTGATGATTACCCCCAAGAAAAATGTGCCACTTCTTCACCAATACATAGTATGATGGGTCAGTCATTGTGTTAAGTTTTACAGCTGGATGGGACCATTGATTGGTTTTCTCCCTTGGTATGCATAGTATCCCCTGATACTAGGAGAGCTAATCTTTGGGGAGGAGGCTTCCAGGTCAGTTCCAGCTCGATTGTACCAAGTCCTGTGTTGAAGTGTCACCTGTCTTCAGCAATAGGATCTTGCCTTCAAGACTTGGGAGGCAATCAAAGGCTGTGGAAATAGCCTGTGTTACTTTGGGAGTCTCTTGGACCAACGACTCAAAGGGAGGTTTTTTTTCCTGCCTGGTGCTGTCTTTAGTTATATAGCATTCAGCTATGGATATGAACTCCTATACATTTTGTGTGTGTAGTTTTGACCAGGCTTTTGCCCCAATATATTTCTTTCTGATTTTCCTTACCTCCTAAGTATTGTTTATCTCTCCTCATTCTCTGCGTGCATCCTCCATCCCCAGTTAAAGTATTTAATTTTCCTATTCCCCCCTTGGTAGCATCTATCTCCTACTATCCCCTTCTCTTGGGCTCCTTCTTCCTCTTTACCCCATGGCTCATTTACATTTTCTGGAATCCTGTGGTTACATCAGAATATACAGCTCACATCTAAGTATCTGGAGGTAAAATTCACAAATGAGAGAGAACATACCTTGCTTCTTTTTCTGAGTCTGTGTTACTTCACTTAGTATAGCAGTTTCTTGGTTCATCCATTTACCTGTAAATTTCATGATTTTCTATTCCTTTACTGCTTAATAGAAGTTCATGTGTAAATACACCACATTTTCGTTATGCATTAATCAACTGAGGGACATTTATCTTCCATTTCTTAGCTATTATGAAAAAAAGCAGCCACAAACATGACTGTGCAAGGATCTCTGCAGCATGATGAGTCTTTTTAATACTGGCCAGAGAGTGAGATAACTGGGTCATATGATATATTCATTTTTAGTTTTTAAGAGTTCTCCACTCTGATTTCCAAAATGGTTGCACCAGTTTACTATCCCACCAGCAATGGATGAATGTCTGCATTCTTGGCATCCTTACCAGCATTTGGGGGTCATTCTTCTCTTTATTTCAGTCATTATGACTGGGATAAGATGAAATCTTAAAAAGTTTTGATTTGCGTTTCCTTAACTACTGAGAGGATTGAACACATTTTAAGATATTTCCTAACAATTTCTATTTCTTCTTTTGGGAGCTGTGTCTTCAGATCCATAGCCAATTTTTTTTTTTAACTGGGTCATTTGCTTGATTCTTCTTTTTTTCTTTTTTAAAGTTTTTTGTATATTCTGGATATAATCTTCTGTCAGATGTATAGCTGCTGAATATTTTCTCCCACTCTGTGAGCTTCCTATTCACTTGATTGTTTCTTTTGCTGTACAGCAACATTTAGTTTAACAAGGTCCCATTTGTTAACTGTTGACCTTAACTCCTGAGCGACTGATGTCTTCTTTAGAAAGTCTTTTCCTGCACCTATATCTTTTAAGGTACTGAAAATGTTTTATTCTCACAATTTCAGCATTTCATATTTCACATTGGGGTCTTTGATGAATTTGGAGTTGACTTTTGTGCAGGGCAATAAGTATGGACCTTAGTTCATTCTTCTACACATGGAGATGCAGTTTTGCCAGCACTGTTTGTTGAAAATGTTGTCTTTCCTACAGTGTTTATTGTTGGCATCTTTGTCAAATAATAGGTGCCTGAAATTGTATGCATTCATATTTGAGTCTTCTATTATTTTCCATTGATCGACATGTCTGTTTGTATGATAGTATCATGCTGTTTTTATGACATAGCTCCTTAACATTGCTTGAGATCTGGTATGGCAATCTCCCCAGAATTGCTCTTTGCACTCAGATTTGCTTTGGGCATCTGAATTCCTTTATGGTTCCATATTAATTTTAGATTATTTTCTGTTTATGTGAAGAATGTCATGGGGATTTTGATTTGGATTACATTAACTTGCTTTAGGTAGAGCGGTGATTCTCATACTGTTAATTCCATGAACATGGGATATCTTTCTGTCTCCTTGGATCTTCCTCAATCTCTTTTTCAGAGACTTGCAGTTTTCACTGGAGAATTCTTTGGTTAGTTTTTTTTCCCTAGAGATTTTGGTGGCCATTGTCAATATATTTCAATGAACTCTTCCTGTGATTGGTTGCTATTTATATGTAGAAAAGCTACTCATTTTTGTAAACTTCTTTTCTATCCTGACACTTTGCTGAAAATGTGATCATCTCCTTAAGTTTTCTGGTGAAATTTTTGAGAGCGCTTATGTATATTATCATATCATCTGCAAGTGCTGATAATCTGACCTCTTCTTTTCCAATTAGTACCCCTTTAGTTTCCTTTCCTTGGTTTTTGCTCAAGCACTGTATTGAAAAGGAATAGGAACAGCCTTGTCTTATTACTGATTTTAATTGAAATGACTTAAGTTTTCCTCCATTTAGAATGATGTCGCCTCTGGGTTTATTGTATATACCCTTAATTATATTGCAGTATGTTTCACTCAGCCCAATTCCCTTTATTACTTTTGCCAGGAATTCGTGTTGGATTTTCTCAAAGGTCTGTTTTGAATCTATTGAGATGATCATGTGATTTTTGTCTGTAACCTTTATGATTTATTTTGCTCACTGACTTACATATGTTGAATGAGATTTGCATATCCATAATAAAGACAACTTGATATTCATGGATGATCTTTTTGATGTGTATCTCTATGTGATTTGTGAGTGTTTTGTTAAGAATTTTTGTATTTATGCTCATTAGGGATATGGGTCCATAGTATCCTCTCTCTCTCTCTCTCTCTCCTCTCCTCTCCCTCCCTCTCTGGTTTTGGTATTAGAATAATATTGGCTTCATAGAAGGAGGTTGAGAATTATATGTTTTATTTTTATTAATTTAAGTATTATTCATTGTAGATCCTCTTTGAAATTCTGGTAAAATTCTGTTGTGAATCCATATGGACTTGGCTTTCTGTTATGAATACTAGAATAATCTACTAATTTAAAATACATTATCTTACTCACATAATGCAAAGTGTCTTTATAATGTAGAGATATGTAATCAAGAAGTGTCAAGTAATTAGAAGAGGATAGTTTTCTTACATCATTCAGAAATCTGTCACAGTGATTCTCAGGATCATATTGGACGGATGCACAATAAGTAACAAATACCCAGCTTAAGCAGGTTTTGAGATAACGAAGGTGACTCAGGATTATGAATTTGTAAACCCCTTTCTAGAAGTTTTAAGTCAATTTTTTATCTAAATTAAAATGATCATAATTGGAAATATGGACATGGATAAATATGGAAAAGATTTCACATAGCCTTTCTACATAGTAGGACTGCTTTCCCCCCTATAAAATACATAATGATCTGGTTTCTATAAAATGTTCCAAAACGCAGCTTTCATTTCATTATTCCTTAGGCTGTATATTATAGGGTTCATAGATGGAGGCATCACAGAATAGAAAACAGATACCAAAAAGTCCCAAAGCTGTGGGGAATCAGGAACTGGTTTCACATAGGCTGTGGCATCTGTGACTAAAAATGTGGCGATGACTATGTGATGGGGCATGCAGGTAGAAAAGACTTTTGACATCCGTTTTAAGAAGGGCATTTTCAACACTGTGTTGAAAATGTAAACATATGAAAACCCTATGGACACTAAGCAGAAATACCCATACGTGAGTCCTAAGATGAGAATAGAGTGAATGGTGACATGCATATTTGAGCAAGAAATCTTCAGCAGAGAGGGGACGTCACAGAAGAACTGTGGCACTTTTCTGGTATCACAGAAAGATAAAGAAAATGTGCCATATGAGTATAAGACCCCAAAGAGACTTCCAAATAGCCACGAGGCAGCTAGAATCAGCATACATTCTGCCCTCTCCATGATGGTATCATAGTGCAGCTGGTGACAGATGGCCACATAACAGTCACAGGACAAGGCTGTGAGGATGGAAATTTCAGTTCCAGCAAAGGAAACCATGAAGAAGACCTGACACACACATCCTGGGAAAGAGATAGTGCTCCTGTGAGACAAAGAGTTGAGAATAAGCTTTGGGACTGTGACTGAAATGAAGCACACATAGAGGAAGGACAAGTCCTTAAGGAAAAAGTACATGGAGGAGTGAAGACAGTGGTCCACAGTGGTAAGCATGATGATAAGATTCCCCATTAGGGACACCAAGTAAATCAGCAGGAACATAAAGCCCTGGAGCACCTGGAGCTGCTTGCTGTCAGACAATTCCATGAGGAAGAAATCTGTGTCCACCATGTGGTCGGTCATGTTATCAGCTGTTCACCTACTCTGAGACAAAGAAAGGAAAAGACACATGTGAAGTTCACACTGAGCCTTCCTCTTAGTAATAATGCATTTTATTTCTGTAAGATGCAAACAACTACATTATTCCTGTAAAAGATGAACATTATACTATCCTAAATACATATAGGTTCTTCATGTCTCAATATATCTCTTTCAATATGTATTACAGTGCTAGTTACAGTGTGGGGGAGTTAGAAATTTTGAAACAATTTTAGTGGAATATAATATATATATATATGCACAAGATATTTATAAAATTTATCCTGAATTAAAATTCTAGGTAAGTATATGGATAAGATTGATTTTGAGAGGATAAATAGTCTGAATACTTTTTAATAGGTCATGTTTCAAACATTACATTATATATACACAGGGCACAAAATAATTGATTTTCTTATTTGCTTTACAGACATGAATAAAATGGGTTGGCTATGACCTTGCCTTAAAGACTCAAATTTCTGAGTTTACTGGGAATGAAAGATAAATGACACAAAAATTGGAAAGGAGATTTATAATTACGTAGTAATATCATTACAGTGAAAATACATAGTACTCATTCATGAGTGAGAGATGAGTGTGGTCATAGAGAAATATTATACACTCTTAACACACCAATCTCCCCTCAATCTCTCTCTCTCCTTTTCCTTGCTCTCTCCCTCTCCCACTGACAGATGGACAGACATTCATCATGTTACTCACAAATAACATTTATACTACTATAACATCCAGATGGAAGCAAATGATACCAAAAAACTCAATGCTTAGTAAGTTAGCTCTGACAAGTAGAATGAGATCAGTGGTGCATTATGACACTGGGTAGAAATGAAATCTTCTATATCGGTGAGTATTGTGGTATGTGAGGAATACTGCAATGCAGGAAATATTCTGTGGAGGGTACAGGGTAAGTTGAATTGAATTGAAGAATGAAAGACCTTTCATAATAAACTAGGTATTTAGCTGTACCAATTACTTTCTAAAAGCAGAAACAGCATGCTTACTAATTCCCTCACCTATGTCCTGTCCAACTTTTGCATAAAAGACAGAATTTAATACATGTTCTGAATAAGATAGCAGATTTTTGTGAACCTCATATTTAAAAGGTGGAACACATGAGAAAGCTAGAAAATGACATTTGCAAATCAAAACAGAGTCCACCAGGAAGATGATGGTGTATTGATAGTCTCATGTGAAGACTATAGGAAATTGATGTTTCTGACAGGTGATTTGCCTTCAGCAGGAATACAGTGTAAGATGTGGGGAAAGGTTTGCCTCTTTGAGCTGTTTAGAGGGAACAGGAGACACAGTACTATGGATGGAGTGGACCTGCCCTGACAGTGCGAAAAACTGAGAACTGTTTTTGCCCCTGCAGACTCTAAAGGAAGCCATGTTCATTACTGCATTCTTCATCATGCTGTCACTGTTTCTTTGTGGGAAAATATTTCTTCCTCTAGTTATTAAGCTTTGTGGTGTGTAAATATCCAAAACATTCTGAAAAATACTAATGTTTTAAATATGTTTCCAAAGGCTTACCAATTATAGGTTTTATAAATCCTATGACATAATACAATTGGGACTTGAGAGATGGCTCAGGGGTTAAGAGCATGGGCTGCTCTTGCAGAGGACGTTGGCTTTATTCCCAGCACCCATAAGGCAGTTAACAACTTTCCCAAATTCCAGCTCTCACCTCTGTGGGCATAGCAGGCATGTCATTAACTTACATGCATGCAGGCAAAATACTCATACACATAAAATAAAATAAATAAATCATATAATCCAGTTACACCACTCCTTGGCATATACCCAAAGGACTAACCCCACTGTAGAGATACCTGTACCTCCGTGTTTGTTGCTGTTCTCTTCAAAATAGCTAAGAAATGGAAACAACATAAATGTCCCTCAGCTGACGAATGGTTTTGAAACGGTGGCGCATTTGCAGAATGGAGTTCTTCTCAGCAGAAAGTTAAGCTGAAATTATGAAATTTTCAGGTAAATGGATGTAACTAGAGAATATTATACTAAGAGAAGTAATACAAACTCAGAAAAGCAAGTGACGTATGTTCTTTCTCATGTGCAAATTGTAGCACCAAACCCTTATATGTGAGTGTATAAATTCTGATGTAACACCAGGCACCTGAAAAGGGAAAGGATATACACTGGTAAAGGAAAAGGAAGTACCTGAAAAGGACACATTAGGAAACAGTTGTTACCCATGGGGAGGCCAGGAAAGTGAGTGTTTGGCAGGAAATAGAGGAGGGAAGAACATGAACAGAGCCATGGTTTATGGGTGGAGGGAAGTCATGAGAGGGGGGATGGTGGAAGGTGGTGTTATTTGGGGTGTGTGGAGTATATTAGGAAACAGTTGTTACCCATGGGGAGGTCAGGAAAGTGAGTGTTTGGCAGGAAATAGAGGAGGGAGGAACATGAACAGAGCCATGGTTTATGGGTGGAGGGAATTCATGAGAGGGGGGATGGTGGAAGGTGGTGTTATTTGGGGTGTGTGGAGTAATGGGAATGCTGGGACTGGGGAGGGAAGAGAGAGACAGAATGGGAAAAAAGAGTAGAGGTGAGTGGATCTTGGAATGCTAGAAAACCAGAGAAAAATGTGATGTCCTTGAAACTCCATGAGGAATATGCATACTTTCTGAACATTAGCACATATATTTATACCTGTGAACTACTTGAGAAGGAACACAGTGCCAGATAGAAGAGACCTCCCTTCGTGTGATTGGTGAGGGTCGCCCAGGAGACACCCTAAAGTAACACAGGTTATTGCCAAACATCTTATCTCCCAGAACTAGTAGATAAGACCCTACTGCTGAAGACAGGATGTACTTCAGATATAGGACTTGAAGCAATGGAGCAGGAGTCGACCTGGAAGCCATCTAACCGATGTTTGACTATAATAGTCCTAGAAGACGATATGCAAACTGCACTGGAAGAAAAAAAATCAGTGGTTCAACTCAGTCTTAAAGCTTAATAACCATAACGACTGGTATTGCAAGCTACGTCTCTTGATGCAGTAATGGCATTGTTATCTGGAGGCAATCAACACCTACCTACTTGTCTTTAAAGCCCTCTCAAAGGGAAGGAATTCATGAGTGCAACTGTAAATTCAGACAAATACACATGGCAGGAGAGGACATAAATCCCAGATAAAACCCTATCTCTTACATCTCTCTAGACAAATGAAATTTCTTACCTTATGCTAAATATTGACCTTTATATTTACAGAGAAGCCTACCATACACCACTCATCATAGTAGCTTATTTTTGAAAATGATTGAGAATACTGCAGAACTGCACAACTACTCAGACACAGAGAGTATGTGTCTGAGAGATGCCCAGTACTAGGTGACACATCTATATTTAAACCTGTACAACTAGTCTCATGGAACATTGTAGAACACGGCGTAGAGAGAAAACTAATGAATCCCTCAACTCTCACCAGTAAAGCTTCCTTATACATCAGAGTGTGATGCACACAGAAGGCCACAACTGACTAAGTTTTAAAGAATAAGAGACTGCGGAGTGTGTATACTTGAATGGGATCCTATATTGATCCTTATCCACACACAGCTCAGGGACAATTGAAATGACAAGTATATTAGATACATGAAATCAATAGAGGCAATTAGGCAGGTAGCCTTAACTGCTTTATGCTCATAAGAACACTGATACAATTCCATGTTTGTAGATGCCACTGTCCCAAGTGGCTTTGATACTGTGCTTCAGCATTGTTTAGGTCCCTCAACAATTCTTTCAGCTTAGTACTGCTATTGCTCCCATATAGTGTATCATGAATCTGGAACATAAAGCATCAAATTTATTCATCTGCACACAGATGAACAATGGGAGAAGATGCCTGTCAGTTACCTGTATTTGCCCTCAGTATGTTTATTGTTCTATATGATGATTCATTGTTGAATTTTAATATATTTTTACTGTCATGAGTGTTAGGTGACCTCTTTTTTTCTTTGAAATACCCTTAAACATAACTCTATGAGCAGATTAAAACACAGTGTGTAGATTTGTTCCTGTACATCTCAAAAATGACCATTTGACAGTCATACTACAGGATACTGGATCATGGCTCCAAACAGACAAGGACTTTTAACTCTTCCAGTATGACTTCCAGGAGTCACTTGGCAAAAGAAGGGTGTCAAAATATCCCAATACAAGGGTGTAAGAAATCTTTCTTGGCTGGGTGGATCTCTGTGAGTTCAAGGCCAACCTGGTCTACCTAGTGAGTTCCAGGAGAGCTGGGGCTACAGGGAGACCTTGTCTCAAAAAAGATAAAAAATAAATCATTCTCTGATGGGGGAAAAATTTATTACCCAGCTGTGAACCCTGTGAACTGAAATATTAACCATGGTGAAAAGACATGGTTATGGGTGAAATAGTTACCCAAGCGTTATGGGGATAACCAACTACATTTTAATTAGATTGCAGCCCATACCACTTAAGAAACCGCCAGCCTGGTTTTGTAAATCTGACCAAAAACCCAAGGTTGTGGAGTTCATAAATCCTAGTTGTGAACAGACTACTATTATTCTGTTAAACAAACTTAGTGTCAAACTGCTCTCTAAATTTGTGCCTTTATTCCATTTTTTTGGTATTTTTGATACAGGATCTTCCTGTAGCCCCAGCTGGCCTTGAAATCCCTATGTAGATCAGGCTGGCCTTGACCTCATAGAGATCTGCCTGTCTCTGTCCACTAAGTCCTATGATTAATTGTGTGCATATACAACACCAGAAAATGTGTATCTTCCTATACAGATATTAATGAAGATCATGGATCTCCTCAGAGAAGTTTCTTTGTGCAATGGAGGGTAATTAATACAGAAACTCATACCTGCTCAAAGTGCAGAGGTCAAATGTGGAGTTTTCGGTCAACAAATGGGATATTTATATCGGACCCACTCCCCGAGGTTGTGTTTGCCTGCACATGATTAAGCCAGTCAACA